TTCTTTTGGTACAGTAGAGCCAAAGTGTCCTTTAGGGAGAGATGACCTCTTACCAGAGAGTTACAAAATACAAGGTAGTAAAAATGGTAGTTTTGCAAATGAAAACTGTCCTTTGTAATTTTAATCTTGATATTAGGCACTGTGGCATTCGGCAGCAGAATCTTCGCGCTAGTAAAGACGAGAAGTTTTCTGTGCAGAGAACGTAGGTTCATGCTATTGATCGTCTACTGAGTGAGCTTATACTGGCTCACCTACTGCCTGTTTATTGCGCTGGCTCTGAGCCGTTGCCCAGGAACCTGCCCATCCTCTAGCCACCGGCCTCAGCCCCCTGGCTTGGCTAGCGACCCTCAAGACGGCACTCCAATGGGAGGAGTACTTCACCCCTTCCAACCCCCCATCTCCCATCACATTAGAAACCATCAACTAACATTATATATTCTGTTTTTTATTTGTTAGATTTATTAAAGATTTCATATTTTTGCAAAAAAAAAAAAAAGTACTTTGTAGAGAGGTGTCCTCTAGCGCGAGTGTCATGGAGGTTTTACTGTACATGAATGCCATTCTACGGTAACCACATGAGGTTACACGACGACTGACTCACCGATGATGCGGAAGCGGCCCGGACGTTCCATTACGACGATGTCCCCAGTACGAACCCACCGGACCCCGTCCTCCTCTAGGAAGACTTCGCTGGTCAACTCTGCGTTGCGGTAGTAGCCCGTGGCCACGCAGTCCCCGCCGACTAGGAGTTCCCCGCGGGGGTGGGGCCGGTCGTGGACGGAGTACCCTCCTGCGACACGGAGAGCTATAAGTAGTAAGGTTACTTATAGAGTTGATATTTCTAGTGTTTAAATATTTCTCTCAGATTTACACATTCACAGCAGGAATTGAAACATGAAGAAAGAAGAGAAGGAACTCAGACCTTCCTTCCAGTCGACAATGCGGAGGTAGGCGCCTGCTGCCCCGTAGCCTGCGGTGTTACCGCTCAGGTCGTACACTGCACCCACAGGCGGGCTGGTGACAACAGGACACCTAGGACATGGTGAAATCGACAGTGGGACGATTTCAAAGTGTCATATGGTCATACTGGCATACGGTTGCCAATAGTGATTTAACTATATACTGTACGTCAAAATCACATTAGGTGTTATATTCCAATAGTGACATACAAGGTGTGTCCAATAAATAATGAGACCGGTCAAAAACAAAGAAAAATGAAATGATATATATATTTTTAAAAGTCTATTAAAAATAGAAAGCTTCAGCTACACTGCAGTATATCACATCACGTGATTGCGCGCGCCGTCGATAAATTGTAAGCTTGTAAAAAGAACGCCTTGCATAACAACTTCTAATTTGTAATGGATAGAAAATTCGAACAACGAATTTGTATTAAATTTTGCTACAAAATGGGGAAATCGGCTTCAGAAACTTTAGATTTGATGAAATTGGCATTTGGAAATGAAAATGTAAATAAGCCCACTACATTTAGATGGTTTTCACGATTTAAAAATGGAATGGAATCGGTGAAAGATGAGAAGCGTGTTGGACGTCCAATTCTGCACAGGAACCCTGAAAAGGTGAGCCAAATTTCAAATTCGATAAAAGAAAATCCACAAATAGGGTTACGGGACATTGAGGAAGAAACAGGGATATCAAAATCATTAGTTGGATCGATTATTAAAGAAGACACCTTCAAAATTTGTCCCTAAAATGCTCACAATCCAACAAAAATCGCGTTGAAGTTGCAAAAAAAAAAATGTTTGAAATGGTGGAAGAAAACCCTAATTGGAAAAAAAGTAATAACTGTGGAGACGAGACATGGATTCACGGGTATGACCCGGAAACAAAGCGCCAATCCATGGAGTGGAAAGGAAAAGATGAACCAAGAACGAAGAAATCACGACTTTGCAAGTCAAAAAACAAAGTCTTATTGGTCACGTTCTTTGACATAAAGGGAATTGTGCATTATGAATATCTAGAGGAAGGTCAAACAATCAATAAGGAGTCTTATTTAAACATTATGAGACGTGTACGTGAATCAATTCGTCTGAAAAGAATTAAAATGTGGAGTTCCAAAAATTGGATTATCCATCATGATAATTCACCACCTCACACCACTACATCTGTACTGACTTATTTGGCTAAACACTGCATCCAAATACTTCAACACAACCTCTCTATTCCCCAGACCTAGCTCCAAATGATTTTTTTCTCTTCCCAAAACTCAAAATGGCTCTAAAAGGAAGGAGATTTGACCCTAGAGAGTCCATCATAGCGGATTCGAAAAAGGTCTTGAAGAACATCCCGAAAGATGCCTTTTCTAAATGTTTTAAATCATGGGAGAAGAGATGGAAATTATGTATAGATGCGGGAGGGGACTATTTTGAAAAATACAATTATTTTTTTCAAATCATTCTATTTTTTATTTATTTTTGACCAGTCTCATTATTTATTGGACACACCTTGTAGCTCTATTGGTGTGATATAACACAGGTTACATAGCTGCATATGTGTGAAATAGCACAAGAGACATAGCTCTATACGTGTGAGATATCACAGGTGATATAGCTATATACATGTGATATATCGCCGGTGACTACACACATAAGAGTACAGCTAACATAGCTGTATTATAAAATAAATGAAGCTTCCAGAGCTAAGTTTCTTGTGCAACTTTTTATTTTCAAGCTTTCGGACTTGTCAGTACTTCAACAGGATTATCACGTTAACAAAATAATAAATACAATTTTTATATACATATTATTATATTAAAAATGGCATATCCTGACCAGGAGCACATGTGCTTTTCATATTATTATATACATATTTTAAATACTTATTATATATTGAGAGAAAAAAAAAGCTATAAGCATGAAACCTCGCCAGTAACTAATTCATGTGATAAATAACTATGACCATTATAGTATAAGGATTTACCGGAAAATTATCAGTATATTTGTGTGTTGAGTTCCTCTAAGGCACATGCGTGTGGCATGCGTTGACACCTATTCAAAGGAATACGTGCGTGAGGTATACCTATCTGGGCACATGATCTGCTCATCTAAGTGACATCGCTGGCTACTGTAAACGACGTTACAACCATCCAGAGCATCTCTAGATACAGTAGCAACTCTTCAGAATATTGTCTTTGAACGGTCATATAGGGAATCTTAGAGTAGATAGGATGGCAAATGTCCATTCACCATCTTGCAACCACACCAGGAGATTGTTAACAACCAGAAGTTGTTATCATTTTCCAGTCCACACATCCCCTAGATCATAATACCATCCAGGTCTAGATAGTCCACAAGTCAAGGCCATCCTCTAGATATAGCAAACCCTAGAGTAGATAGGATGGCAAATGTCCATTCACCATCTTGCAACCACACCAGGAGATTGTTAACAACCAGAAGTTGTTATTATTTTCCAGTCCACACATCCCCTAGATCATAATACCATCCAGGTCTAGATGGTCTACAAGTCAAGGCCATCCTCTAGATATAGTAAACCCTGGAGTAGATAGGATGGCAAATGTCCATTCGCCATCTTGAAACCACACCAGGAGATTGTTAACAACCAGAAGTTGTTATTATTTTCCAGTCCACACATCCCCTAGATTATAATACCATCCAGGTCTAGATGGTCCACAAGTCAAGGCCATCCCTAGATATAGCAAACCCTAGAGTAGGCAGGATGGTAAATGTCCATTCACCATCTTGAAACCACACCAGAATATAACAATAGCGAAGGATAACTATCCCGCTAAATCGATACGTGAACCAGGCAAGTTCTCTGTTCGTATTTCAGAGAGTCTTCACTCATGGTCACATACTCTACTATACTCACGCCAATGCACATCCCTGTATGCTTTTTTTAATCAATTGATTTGATGCAAGGGATTATAATTTTCTCAAAAAAGGTATACTAAAAACTTTGTCTAATATTTCCCCGATAACAATTATTTAGGAATAAGATCCGAGATTATCAGGATTTCTGATATTCGATAACAATATTATTAAAAGAACACATTTTTATACTCTCTATGCTTATTTTATATTTACTTTTGATAAAATAAGGTGCTTTTGGAAGCTCACCTATCTATACTTACTTACACCTAGTGATAGACTAAACTATTATTTTTTCAGAACCTCTGCCACCATCTATGTCTTAGCAGAGCATAGATCATTCCTTAATTGCTTAGAAAAGATTAATTATTCATTTACAAATCTATTTACATACGGCTCTCTCAATGTTTCTTCTCTTGTACAGCCCTGTAAAACTTGCACAGAGCCAATGTATTGGATTTATTCTTTGTCGTCCTAGACAACAGAGCCTCCAGAGCAAGATGATTTGATACAATTTTATGTAAAAGAAATTCGCTTTCACTTATTAACTTTAAACAATAAACATGTAGTGCTTGAGTTCCGAGTCGGTTATTTAATTACATAATGGACATATTCGGTCAGTTGAGATAAATATTTCAGCATGGTTTTCTTTAAACAGTGAAAAGAGTGTACTTTACATCTTTTGACAGTTAATGGGAGATTTACGATCAAATATTGTTCTGCTGTTATAAAAGGGAGTAGATTTATATAGTGCGAATAAAATTAAACCGACCTATATACTTGAGGAAACATTTGCATAAACTTTCAAAGGAATGAGACAAGAATGTTATTCAAATGTATCTTATGTATGTATTATAACGTGCTATTTATATACAAGAAATGGAAGCATCAAAGCATTTTAAAATATAAAACAAACTTCTACTGTTCTTACTGTGATGGAAAAACTGATGAGTCAAGCCCTTCCAATATTTTTTCATCGCAGTAAGGATATTGGATGTTTGTAAAAAAACACTTGAAGTTACACCGCATGAGTTTCTTTTCAACGAAAAATCAAAATTTATTTCAAGGTGAAATATTGACTATTTCTAACCTTTTTGGATGAGGTATGAAAGGGTGAATTATGAAGAGTAATGATGAACGTAAAAATAAAAGTGTCCAGGGATGGGAATCGAACCCACAATGTTCCGCTTACCGGGCAGATGCCATGTCCTCTAGGTACCCTGGACGTATTTTTCCGTTCATAAATAATACATAAAGTAACTTATAATACAATATAATACACTGCGGCTTGTGATTGTAAAAAACACTTGAAGTTACACCGCATGAGTTTCTTTTCAACGAAAAATCAAAATTTATTTCAAGGTGAAATATTGACTATTTCTAACCTTTTTGGATGAGGTATGAAAGGGTGAATTATGAAGTGTATTATGTTTGTTTTATATTTAAAAAGAAACATTCGTGTACTTTAATGATTCCATTTCTTATGTATATAGGTTGGTTTACAAACGACCACCACGACTGTGAAAGAAGAGATATGATCGAAACTTTGTGGCAATATAATCCAAATCAATGCTACACCTTGGACGTAATTATCTCGGCCCAACCAGCTGCTGTATATGAGACCCACTGTTTGCGCCTAGCTATGTAAATCACTAGCTAGGCTGCATTGATTCATAGTCATGCAAATTCTTTCTTTATTTCTTTTTATTATGTAAATATGTGTGTATATAAAATGAATGGATGATTGAATAAAGTTAGAGTGTGTTAGCAAAACGCCGTGAGGCTGTGTGGCCATTCTCTTGTTGTTACATCGCATTAGGATAGGTACAATCTCTCGGTAGTCAATCCGCAGGTCGAGGTGAAAGTATACAGTCCAAATTAAGCTCTGCCAAGGATAGTCAACATCTAAAACAAAAGGTTAGAGAGCAGCACGGATTTCCAAACTATTGCTGTAAGGATCCAAGCTGCAACATATGGTCCATATCGACCCGGATCTTAAGGAACAGAGCGTGATTCTGCCGAGAAACAAACCTTCAAATCTGGAACCATGTCTAAGGCAACGAAAGGCCTAAAAATCAAGATCCGTTCACAGACAAGACGAATCGAAAGATACCTAGCATCCATAGATGAACACATATCGGGAGGCGATCTCCATAAATTGAAAATGATACAAGAAGGTATTACAGAAATAAAAACTGAGACAAAATTCCTATTCGATGAGTTATTTGTACAGGAGGAGGTAGATGAAGAAAAAGAACTCGAAGGTTATGAAGCGATTCAAGATAAAATCGAAAAACTGGAATTAAAGCTCAGGCGTGCATTAGAAGGAAACCAAAGTACAGCTGATACAAAACAAGCAAAAGCCATCGAAACAGTGAAATTGCCCATCTTCGAGTTGCCTCACTTCTATGGAGATGCAAACTCTTGGTTTAACTTCAAAGAGGTATTCGGAATGGTCATAGATCAAAATCCAGGCTTAAACGATCTACAAAAGCTGCAATACTTGGGCTCCGCGGTAAAGGGAGAAGCGGCCAGACTGATACGTGGGTTCCCAGTGGTATCAGAGAGCTACAAGCAGGCATGGGATACTCTGGTGTCCAGATACGACAATCAAAGAGAGTTGGCTTATGCACAACTGAACAAAATCTTCAAGATTAAGCAAGTCAAGAATACATCGGCAAAGGCCATAAGGGAACTCCTGGACACATGCAATGAGTCTGTGCGCAATCTGGAATCCCTCGGATTGCAAAGAAATGAGTTGGTAGACGTGATACTGGTACAGTTCTTGAGGAACAGACTCGATGAGGATGTGAAGCGACAGTGGGAGTTGACACAGGATGAGAGATCGTTTCCTTCCTATGAGAACTTCATTCAATTTCTTGAAAGACAAGCCAGAAGTCTGCCACAGGGAGCAAGGGAATACCAAAGAAAGGAAAATGAGATGCAAAGGGAATATGCAAGTGTACACACTGCGGTTAATGCCAATGCTCAAATATGCATAGCATGCAAGGCAGGCCACAGAATCTACAACTGTACTACATTTAGTACAATGCCCATCGAACAAAAATGGGAATTTGTCAAGCAAAACAAGTTGTGCTACAATTGTCTAAAAAAGGGTCATACAAGAACAACTTGTTACCAAGGACCTTGTAAGAAATGCAACAAAAACCACCATACTTTGCTCCATAGGCTCGACACTAAGGTGACTGATAGTCAGAAGGGTGCAAAGCCTCAGATCTCTGAACCTGTGGGTCAGGTCAACAACACGAGTATTGAACAAGGAGGTGAGACCATCAATCAAGTGCTCCTTGCGACAGCTCAAATAATTGTGGAAGGTGAAAACGGGACACAGCTGATCTGCCGAGCACTTTTGGACAGTGGATCACAGGTTTGTTTGATCACAAGGGAAATTTGTGAGAAACTTGGACTCAAGGGAGAAACATCAGGACGCTCACTGAGGGGTATTGGAAATAATCCAGTCCAAGGGTCATCTACATCTGTTGGCTTAAAATTTAAATCGATTTATAGATCGGAAAAATATGAAACGAGAGCTCTAGTAATGGAGGTCTTGACAGCGGAAATTCCAAACTTCGAAATGGCAGAACCGACCTGGATTATGCAGAAAGACTTTGAGTTGGCAGACCCTCTGTTTCATATTTCAGCACCAATCGACATCATTCTAGGTGCAGAAATGTATGCATATCTGATGCATGGAGAGAAAAAAATGCTGGGAATGAACCAACCTATAGCAATGAATTCAAGGCTCGGTTGGATTCTAATGGGCAAGGTAGAAAGCTCTCTCTCGTCGAACTATAAAAATGGACCTTGTAGCTATGCGGTACAAACAACATCAGAATTAGATGGTCTGGTAAGAGATTTCTGGGAATTGGAGTCAGTACCGTCATTGCAAGACCAGAATCCAAGGGAAGAAAGTTACGAGACTCATTACATGAAAACCTATTCCAGAGACTGCCAGGGAAGATATATTGTGAAATTACTATTTAAAGAAAAACCCTCTCTGCTCGGACAATCAAGAGAGAAGGCCTTGGCTCGGTTTCTGGCATTGGAACGAAGACTGTTGAAAACCCCAAGAGTCTATAAACAGTACAAAGAGTTCATGAGGGAATACGAGGCATTGGGTCACATGGAGCTAGTGCCATTTAAGGAGATAATCAGAGACCCATCAACATGTTATTACATGCCGCATCATGGAGTTGAAAGAGAACAATCTACAACTACAAAATTAAGAGTGGTCTTTGATGCATCGGCGAAAACTGATTCTGGTACCTCATTGAACCAAATATTGAACACCGGACCAAAGATCCAAAGGGATATATTTGTCATCCTGACGGGATTCAGAGCACATCCAATTGCGATTATTGCTGATATAGAAAAGATGTTCAGACAAGTGAGAATTCACCCAGAGGATGCAGATTACCAAAGGATATTATGGAGACAAACACCTGAACAACCGGTGGAAGATTATAGGTTGTCGACAGTAACATACGGGACTACATCTGCCCCCTTTTTGGCTATTAGGACAATACATCAGCTGGCCAGGGATGAATGCAAAGAGTTTCCAACGGCTTCAAAGGTCGTAATGAGTGATTTCTATGTGGACGATCTCTTAACGGGAGTATCTTCAAAACAGGAAGGCGAGGAGTTGATAAAACAAATGATAGGTCTGATGTCAAAGGGAGGTTTCGAGATTAGAAAATGGAAATCCAATTGCCATGAACTTGTGTCCCAAATGGATGAAACTGAGACTGAATTGGGTGTTAACGCTTCGTCAAGGGTTTTAGGAATTCTTTGGGATAATTCACGGGACGCCTTCAGGATCAATATAAATAACCCTGGTGAAGTCATAACAAAGAGGGATTATTTGTCCAACATTGCTAGGATATTTGATCCATTGGGCTTCCTTTCACCCCTTACAGTCGCCTTGAAAATTATGATGCAAGAACTATGGAAGGAAAAGTTAAGTTGGGACGAGCCCATGTCAGAAAGGTGGAGATCAAGGTGGAACTCTTTTCGTGACGAAATGAGTGTGCTGACCAAGTTGGAGGTCCCTAGATATATTTTTATGGATCAAAATAGTAGGAATATCCAACTTCACGGATTCTGCGATGCTTCAAGCGTGGCATATTCAGCGGTTTGCTATCTAAAATCGGAAACTATTGAAGGACAAATTGGGATATCACTAATTGCGGCGAAAACAAGAGTCGCCCCCTGCAAACCTTGTACACTTCCGAGATTGGAGTTATGTGCTGCTCTTCTTCTATCACAGCTTTATAGGTCTATTGTAGAATCAATTAAATTGCCACTAGATGAAGTTCGTCTATGGACGGATTCTCAGATAGCACTTTGCTGGATAAAATCGGATCCTAATAGATGGAAGAAATTTATAAGTCATCGAGTTATGAAAATACAGCAGTTGACAGAATTAAAGTATTGGGGCCACGTGTCTGGAAAGGATAATCCGGCCGATTGTGCGTCGAGAGGTCTAAAGCCTGCGGCACTGATAAAACATGAACTTTGGTGGCAAGGACCCTCGTGGTTGAAAGATGACTGTGTTGAGCGAATTTGGGAGAACTCGAACAGTGATCTTCAAATTCAAGAGCAAGAAGAGATTGTGGCATTCTGCCATCTCCAGACAACAAACGTTCCGGAATACTTTCTGAAATACTCGTCCTTCACGAGCCTAAAAAGAGTCACAGCTTGGTGTCTAAGATTTGGAGCAAATTGCCAACGAGCAAGTAAGGAAAGAGAATATGGTCCCTTGACAACAGCTGAGATGAATCGTGCTATAATGGTGATTGTCAAGCTAGTACAATGTTCCGAATTTCTTCATGAAATTCAATCGTTAAATGATCATTGTCAGCTTCCAAATAAGAATCGAATCTTGGATTTAGGGCCATTTTTGGACGACGAGGGCCTACTTAGAGTTGGAGGGCGCCTTCAGAGGTCTAACTTGTCATCCAACCAGAAACATCCGATGATCTTGCCTAAAAAACACCATATCACCAGGTTAATCATACAAGAATATCATCAAAGATATCTCCATGCGGGCCCTCACTTGGTTTTATCGCTAATACGAAATAAGTATTGGATACTGGGAGGCCGAGAAATAGTAAGACGAGTAGTCAAAAATTGCCTGATCTGTTTTAAACTCAGAGCTCGAACAGTCGAGCAAATAATGGGAAACTTGCCGCCTGATAGAGTGAAC